ACTATCACCATGATCCTAAATTGAAACAGGAACGTTTACAGTGGACTGAAGCTGGATGTTCAGCTCCAAAGCAAACAAAGCATGGAAGATCGGCAAAAAAGGTTTTGGCATCAGATTTTTAGGATGCTAAAGGGGTTTTATTAATTGACTATCTGGAAAAAGGTAAAACAATTAACTCTGAATATTATTGTAACCTTTTGGATCGATTGGTCGCAAAAATTCGTGAGAAAAGACCTGGTTTGCAGCACAAACAAATCATTTTTCACCAAGATAACACACCTGCTCACACAAGTGTTTTGTCAATGTCTAAATTCAATGAATTGAAGTACAAATTGCTTGATCATCCACCGTATTCGCCAGATTTGGCGAACCCAGCGACTTCTATCTGTTCCGAAACCTGAAACAATTCCTCCGTGGAAAGCACTTTTTGTCGAATGAAGAAGCTATAGCAGCCGTAGAGGCATATTTCGCAGACCTTCCAGAAACACACTTCCGCGATGGAATAAAATTATTGGGGAGCCATTGGGCCAAGTGTATTGAAGTTAATGGAGACTATATTGAAGAATAAAATCATTTTTAGAATTTGGTATTCTTTATTTCAGTTTCGCTCCGCGAACTTTTCACGCAACCTGTACGTTCGTTAGCCACATCTTCACCAAACACTTCGTTAATATTTCGAGTTGTCTGTGCTGCATTGGTTCCACGACGGAACTCATATTCGAAAATAACATGAATTATTAACTTATCCATGGTTATACAAAAATTGCTGTAGCAAAGGCAATTCGAAAGATAACCACAAACCAAAACATGCATTTGAAAGAGTCACAACAGAAACAAGACCAATAACTATAAAGGTGAAATGTCAGAGATATCGACTGTCGAACTTAGTACTTGAGGAAATCGGACATCTCATATTTAACGACCTAATACAATATCCATTTCTCATCATCCGTAATGATTTTGCATGAAAAATCCTTTCTTTTAAATCGACTCAGCAAAGACATAGCCATGTCGAATCTTCGCTGCTTGTTTCTCGGCCTGAGGTTATGCGGAATCCATCTACCCTCCTTTTGAATTTTTCCGAGTTGAAGCAGGCGATGGGATATGAATAGGTGGGTAACTCCCAGATGCAGTGCAAGCTCCGGTTGAGTTTGAGCGGAGTTTTCATTTAACAGTTGCTCGAGTTCTTCGTCTTCAAACTTTTTTCGTTGGCCTCGGACGTTCTCGGTTCGAAAGATCAAAATCTCCATTCCGAAAGTTCCGGTATCATTTTTTGCATGTTTTATACGCCACAGCGTCTTTACTCAGAGCGGAACAAATCATTTCCGAAGCTTCAGCGGCATTTTTTTTTTCAATTTAAATGCGAAAAGAATGCAGTGCCTCAGATGCTCAGATTTTCGACCGCCATTGTGCTCACTGCTGTTTTGTGAGGTTATGTCGGGCAGGGCCGTCAATTACGTCACCATAGGACGGGAAAAAAATTTTAATTGGAACCAGAATTACAAAACGTTAAATGTAAAAGCACCGAATTAATTAGCACACTTAATATTTTACGACGATATCGAAACATCCTGATAACGAAATCGCACGATTTAGACCACTTGTGAATCAAAACTACACCCGAAAAGAGTGGCCCGTGCAAAGAGCATTCGATCTTCGTCTAGCTCGAGCCACGATCGGGCGGAAGACGGATGAAACCGACGTGGCCAACGGAATGGGAATATAACTGTCCTTGACATCTCTCATCTTCAAGAACCTTTCATGAGAAGGCGCAGTCTATGAATATGAATCTATGCTTCAGACGCATTTTTCTCCAACGAAGTTTTTAAATGCGAAAAGAATGCAGTGCCTCAGATACTGAGATTTTCGACCGCCACTCGTGTTCACTGCTGTTTTGTGAGGTTATGTCGGCGGGCCCGATAATCATCATAGTGCTTCTTAAAGCTTAAGATTGGCACTTCTAAGCGTCACCGTGGGACGGGAAAAAAACTTTAATTCGAACCAGAGTTACGAGAAAATTAAATGTAAAAGCATCGAATTAATTTGCATATTTCATATATTGAAAATATTCAATAATTTTCAATGATACATTGAAAATTTTTCTTAATCGCTCGAAATTTCACGAAATTTGCGAGGGGAAACAAAGATTTCGCAAAGAACCACTTGCCTACCGTTGCTTTACCGTCATTCTGCGCTTTACGCCGGCTAATCGCAAGCCATCGGAGCCAAACTCTCGCGAACGATAAATCAATCGGTCGAATATTTCGTCTTTAACGACTCGGCGGAGAGGAAAAGCGGAAGCCGCGACGGGCCGCCGGCGCGCGCACTTGTTGTTCCACCGTAATTTATAACACTCATCTCGTGTCTCGAGGAGTTTCGCTAATCGCCGCCAACTTATATATATATATATATATATAATATATAGCCCGAGGCGCAGTTAAGCGAGTAATAATAACCATTTCTGCTCGACGGAGGCTTGATATTTGACAAACGGCCCCGTCTGATCCGTCACTCCGCTCGATTACTCGCGAATAATGCAGCCACGGCAGCGGCCGTTAAATCGCGCGCGGCGATTTCGTCAGATTAGACACGGCTATATCGGCTATGTAAATGATCGTTCACCGACTCTATTTTTACTTTCGACGCTCGACAGCGCCCCCCCTCCCCCTCTTTCCTTCTTGACGCGTTCAGCTTGTCGCCCGCGTGTAATCGCCGGGAATGATAACGTTCATGTGAACGTGACGCCGCCGCTCGCGCCTTTGATTTGCGCTTTTATTTTTTCACGTCAGCCACGTAAAATGATCGATTTCCTATTCTCGGCGGCCGAGCCGGCTTTTGTAATACTTCGCGCGACAGAGTCGTCGTCGGCGACGGTCTCTGATTGAGAGATTCGGACTGGAATTCGCAAGTCCTTCCTGTGGTGCGATTCTTCAACTCGTTATTGGAGTTAACGACACTTTCGTTATCGTTGCGCAGCTTTTGCATACCGTAGAAAAGCTGCGCAACGATAACGAAATTGTTGTTAACTCCAATAACGTGTTGAAGAATCGCACCACTGGCGGCAGACGGCTTCAAGACTGCAGATATCCTCGGCGGTGATTTTTTCGTTACGTCTTCGCGCGCAATAAGATTACTGCGAATAATCTCGAGGGGACTCGAACTGAGTCTCGAGCTCTTCGCGATCAGTCAAAATCGTTTTTCTTCTTCTCCTGTATGCGACAGAATGATTAGCAATGATCTCCAATTCAGAGACTCGAGCTGAACTTGCAATCCTTCCAGGTGCCCGAGTCGAGCGGAGAGACCCCGCGAACCCGCGCACAGTGAGATCCAGATGACATTCTTTGGTTGCAAAATCTCTAGAGACCTGGATCTCCAACCGATCATCGACACCAATGGATGAGGTTGATCCTGAATAAATTCCGAAAAGATCTGTCTTGCTAAAATAAAAAAAGAAACTTTTTCCTCGAATTACTAGCCCCAAAAGAGGAGAAGTTATCGTTAAACGCCAGAAACTTGTGAAATACTCATTATTCGATACTGATTTCTATCTAATAGCGTCACATTGGATCATGCTAATGTCGACGATGATTACTTTCTATCTCCGTATGATGGCTCATGAGCTGAGTTTTGGGTTCATGGACTATCAGGTTAGGGTTGGATGTTTTGTTCAATGTTCTCCATGTTTTTACTTATTGGGTCCATATGGCTTAATTCTTTCTTAATGTGGGTTGAAATGATGAGCTTTGAAATTCTGAGTTTTCTAAAAGGTGATTATAAGTTCTGGGATCTCGCATTTAGTATCCATAGGCTCGAACCCATTAAGGTCGAACTCAAGACACTGTACTTTAAACGATAAACTTTTCAGACCCAAACCCTAAACCCATGAACACTGGATCGATAATTTTTTTCAAAATTTCGACTAGACAGATCTCTTTGGAATTTCTTCAGGATCAACCTCATCCATTGGTGTCGATGATCGGTTGGAAATTCAGGTCTCTAGAGAATTTTCAACCAAAAAATGTCATCTGGCCTCACTGTGCCGAGGCACGAAAATGCAAATACTTTCGCCTGCGATTTTCCAGGCATTTTCTTGGAAAATCGCTTTCTTTCTTGCTTCCTCCGTAATCGGTGGACCAGATCGGAGTCACCAGACGTCAGCTATTCGCGATTTTCTCACGCGCTACTAAACAACGGCGAGCGGCGAGCGTCCAGTTTCGCGACGGTGCGAAGGAATCGCCGCGAGTTGCCCCGTCGACGACGACGTCGTCGACGACGGCGAAGACATCGGTTGACGAAATGATTCACCCGCGAGTGTCTTATCGCCGGGAATATCGTCGTTCGGCGTTTACGACGACGTAGCACCGTCCGTTTCTACGCGAGCGCGAGCTGCATGAAGGAAGGAAGGAAGGAAGGAGGGCGGGAAGGAGGGAGGGAAGGAGGGACGGACGCGCGCACGAAGGCAACACAATATTTTCACGTGCGCCGGCAGTAATGCCTATAATTTGTACGTTTGCTTAGCGCAATTACCGGCGGTAAGCGTAACAGTAACTTGATGCAAAAGAGAGAGGGGGAGAGAGAGAAAGAGAGAGAGAGAGAGAGAGAGAGAGAGAGCCGCGGAGGTCGCGCGGCTCATCCACACGTAATCATTTCGCGTATCCTTTTAACCGCTACGTGTCGCTTTTATTTTTATAATTTACCAGACTCAGAGAAGACGGATGAGTGGAGAGGCGGGGAAGGGGGGGGGAGCAAGAGAGAAAGAAGGAGAGAGAGGGGAAGAGGGAAAGCATTCGGGCTCGTGTAACATGCAAATTGTTATGAGAGTTACCGTTCAGCGCAATTACTCCTCTCCTTTCCTCTCTCTCTCTCCCTCTCTCTCTCTCTCTCTCTCTCTCTCTCTTCGCCATCGATTAATCTTATCGCGCAGTGACGGAATTCCGATGCGATCGAGATTACCTCGGCTCGCCGACAACGGGTGGGTGGGGACGGGGAGGGGGACGGGGAGGGAGGCAGGGAGGATCAGGGATCACAATCCGCGCTTATCCGCGTGTTACGCCTCGAAAGGAAGTACCACGACGGATAACGGCTTTCTCCGGCCGGATGGGAGAGGTCCGGCGGAGAAGCTCGGGCAGGGTCGTACGCGCGCTCGAGAAATCGCGCGTCGACGAAACGGCGATTTCTTTTTTCCCTTTCTTTTCTTTGGACCCCCGAGGAGTCCCCGAAATGTGAATTCGTGCGGCGAATATTCGATTGCCGAGACGCTAATTTCCATCGGCTCTGCCGACTCGTTTTCGATACGCATCGGACCGTCAACGTCGGACTTGGGGTTTTCGCGGCAACAATCGACGTCGTCCTCGCTTGATCCTCGCGGGTGACTCTTTTGTCGCCTGCGGATCCTCCGACACGAGCCCGAGATTAATTAATCTGCATTTGGTGGATATTCGACCGCCGATAATTTTCGACCGTCGATCTTCTTGTTTCGTTGGTTTTCTTCCCTTTTTAATGGCAGGCAGTGACGAAGAATTTGAAGCTCCGTTCACAACCGGTTTCACTGATTTCGCTCGTCGTGAATTTAGAAAGAAACGCGAGAGAGCGATTTTTCTGAGGATGCACGGAGGACACGATGACGCGCATCACGTTGAGTAATACGCGTTACTGCGTGCCGACACATGTGCAAGTCGGCGTATACGTGTAAACAATGACGCACGCTGAAATAAACAAAGGAGAACTCACATTCTGGAAGTCGCTCGTGGGAACGTGAATGTCCAGGTCGCTTCCTTGTGCCTTTCGAGTGATACCTGCAAGCAACAATGATACCGATCTTTTTGCTGCGTATTGCGACGTCGTATTTGTTATTAAAGTTCATTATGGCATCCGTCACGCTAATTGCGGCCACGAGACTATATATATATATATATAACCACGCGGCAACAAAAATGATGTTCATATGCGTTATCGGCACAATATGTTAAATGCGTTAAATATGTACGATATATTTTATGAAATAAAGTGCTTTATAAAAATGTCGCAAAAATGTGTTTTATCTTTTTATCTTTTTTATCCGATATATTCTATTTTCACTCAATAATATTTTATTTCGTAAAATATTTTATGAAATAAAAATATACAATGCGTTGAATATGTTAAATATGTTTTATGAAATAAAAACAATATATATATATATATATGTTAAATATATACGATATATTTTATGAAATTAAGTACTTTATAACATTGTTATAAAAATGTGTCGTATTATTTTCTTTTTGTTCAATATATTCTATTTTCACTCAATAATTCTTTTTTATTTCATGAAACATTTTACGAAATAAAAATATACAATGCATCGAATATGTTAAATATGTTTTATGAAATAAAAAGAAATATATATACATGTTAAATATGTACGATGTATTTCATGAAATTAGGTACTTGATAAAAATGTTGTAAAAATATGTTATTTTATTTTTTTATTCTGTATATTCTATTTTCATTCAAATTCTTTTATTTCATGAAACACTTTATGCGAGATGAAAATATACATGTAAAATGTCTGCACCACGTATTTTACGAGACAAACTGTTCTCCCATTTCTCTTCCTCTCTCTCTCTCTCTCTCTCTCTCTCTCTCTCTCTCTCTCTCTCTCTCTCTAGTGTCCTAAAAATATTATCAATTTTTAACGAGAACATTTGACAACCACACTAAAGTGCAAATTCATTAATTCCGCCACGAATTCCCCAAAGTTCGCACCCGCGACTAATTACACCGCCGCAATTATTCATCGAGGACGGTATCTCTACACGACATCTCATAACGATCCTTTCTCGTCCTTGCCCTCTCTCTCTCTCTCTCTCTCTCTCTCTCTCTCTCTCTCTCTCTCTCTCTCTCTCTGTGTGTGCCCTTTTGCCCGAAAGATTATCGTCGACCTCTTCTTGCCGCAGATGCTGCCGAAGTTGCTAGCGTTGCTCTGGGCGGCAATTCCGATTGCGTTGTCCCAGAGCAACTACGCGTCGCAGGGCAACAGCATCGAGTATCAGCCGGGACTGCCGCCGAGCACGGTCCTCGACGGCAAGGTCACCAAGCTGGACGACATCTCGTCGGAAATCTATCTCAATCGAACGAAGGCCAACCTCAACTGCGGCCAGGGTAGCATGGAGGTCAGCCTGGAGTTTAAGGAGCCGTTTTACGGGGTGGCCTACGCCGACTTCGACCGCAACAGCGCCTGCATATTCAAGGGTCGGGGCGCGCAAACCGCCAAGCTGGAACTACCTCTGAAGGGTGCGTTTCAAGTTGAATTCACTCATTGACACTCGCAGCGAGATCTCGCGCGAAAAAGCGCTCGAAGCGACGGCCAGCGTACCGCTTCACCGTTCCACTTTCGATTTCGCCGTGAGGAATCAAACCCAAATTCACTTCAGCGGGATGACTCGGCTGTCATTCCGCTCGGACCTCAAGAAGTTTAGAGAGTCGGGGAGATGAACTCTCTGACTGTCGGAGTGAAATTTCACCCGGAATTAAATCTGAAAACAGGGACACGTTCGTTCCAGTCGTTCTCGCTACCGCCATCTTTTTGCACGAAATTAACGCGCAATCGAGTAAAATGCTCAGAGCCGCCGAGTGAAATTTGCAAAGTCACCGAAACGAAAACTTCCACTTTCCGAAACGTATGTGAAACCAAAGAGACACGTTCGAGGTTGAAAAAACGTTCGAAACGAAATAAAGCAAGTCGACCTAACCTAAAATTATAATGAGAAACGTTCGAGGCCGAGATGAGGCAGGCAGAGCAAGAAATATCGGTCCGATAACGTGTACGAAGAAACCTAGAAGGCGCAGGTGCGTAGCGAAGAGCGTGCGTGCGAATCGAGGGGCAAAATATGTACAACGTGCGGCAAAAAAACGCGGACGCGAGCAGCTCGACAATCGCCGCGGCCGTTTAATTCCGCGATCCCGTTATCTTCGATTCCGTCCGCGATTACGACCAATTTCCCAGCGGGAAAACGGACCTCTCATCGTGTTCGCGCGCGCAAAATAATCTCTGTTTCTCAGGATGCGGCACCAGGCAGGATCCGCTGCGCGTCTTCACCAACAATGTGATCGTCCGCTTCCACCCCGGATTGGAGATGGACGGGGACGAGGTGATCACTATAGTCTGCAGATACCCTCCGCCCGAGGTGCCAGCACCACCCGCGCCTCCGGCCAGCATGTAAGAGTCCTTTGTTAAGAGCCTGAGCGCGTGGGAAGTGTATTATCGTCGCTACACAGTCGTTCGGCTATACGAGAGCCGGCAGAAGGCGAGACTCGTCGCGAACGCCATAATGGAATTAACCCCTTGACGCACAAAGGCGGGACTCCGGGAGATGTCGTCTTCTTCGCGTGTTGCATTTTAGACGTTGCTCTCGTTGACGTATATTGTTCATTGGCTTTTTAATTTCATTTAATTTTATTAATCGTTGTATTATTATTTATCAATCAGCCGAGAGTCTATTACCTCAAGAACCAATTTACCGAGGACCTCATTAAATTTTCGCGTAATTAAATAGGTACATTGTGAGCATAAGGAATGAGAAATTAGTTTTATAACATAATTTAACGATCGAATTTTGAGATGGTAAGCTTGTAAGCACCGTCGGGATATAAAGGGTCAGTCTCGCCTATTAATCGCCGATATTAATTTATGATATTCAGCAATGCAGATATTTCGTTTCTCGTACAGCTTGCGTAACTTTAATCCTTTGCTGCATAGCGGTCCTCCCAGAGTGTCACCTATCATTCAAGCTTGTTTTTCCAATAATTTAAATTTTTCACGTGTTTCTTTAGCATATTTGGTATTGTTGAACTACTAAAATGTTCCTCTAACTAATACATCAACTTTTAGAGTCATTTCAAATAAGCAATTTATCATTGATAAGCATATACTGAGTAAAACTGTCGTTTCTAGAGAATAAATTCGCTTACATGAAATTTTAAGCAATAACGTATACTTCAATCAATTTCTGGGGTCGTTCCATACAAATCCGGTGTGAAAAATACAAGATACAACAACATGGCAGACTCAATATGGCGGACGGAATTTTCAAAATCGGTCGAATTCGCTTGAAACTTGTGTTACTCGGGGGTTCTTGAAGTCGCGAAATACGAATCCGGTGTGAAAAATGCAAAATTCAAAGTGACGAATCTCATGACGAACATAATTACAGAAATAAACAAGCTAAATGCGCTCGAAAGCCGGACGAACCTGACCTGTGCAACTGAACCTTGCCGTATATACCCGTGCAGCTCTGGCATTTCGAATTTTCGATGACGAATTTGTAATTAGCAACCCCGAAAACCCTTAAATAACAAATTTCAAGCGATTTCGGCTGATTTTGCAAATTTCCGTTCGCCATACTGGAACCGCCATTTTGAATTTCGCATTCTTCACACCGGATTTGTATTCGGCGACCCTAAACACCCCCGAGCAACAAGTTTCACAAAATTATATTCATTAGAAAAAAACGTGCAACAAAGGGTTAAGTTGAGCCGTATTGGATGGTATTTCCGGCGCACGTCGTGTCCTGTTTCCTTTGTGTGTTAAGGGGGGTTAGGCTGCGACTATCCCTTCCGCGGCGTCTCATCTCGGGAGAACCGTCGATGATCACGGCGAATAACGCGGCGTTGCCTCGCTGAATTACGCGAGGTTAACGCGCCCGAGCGCGTCCTCGTGGCCAGCAGCCATGTCTAATGCCTGATGCATGGCGTTAGCATCAAGCATCGCGGAAACGAGCGCGAGGGACTACTCCGGCTGCGAGTCGCGAAGGTCGTCGCTTGGAGCCGCGACACTTGCGTTTTCGTCTTCGCATTCGCCTTCGTCGAGTCGGATGACTCACGGATAAGCGCGCTTACGCGCGACGATAACACACGCCTTTGTCTCCCGCCAGTCCAGTTACGCTCGCGGGGATACCCGCGAGAAATCGCGGCCGAGCGAGCGGTGCTTACCGCTTTAAGTAACTGTAACGCGTCTCCTCGCCTCACATCGTGGCTTCTCCCGAGAGACCGCACGCTCTCCTGCCAGGGTAAAGCGCCCAGCGGCCGGCATTCCGCTGTTTCTCTTGCCGCTCTTGCGCTGAATTCTGCGGCGAATGTCTTGGTACATGGCAGTTGTTTGTTAATTACTTTACTCGAATCGGGGTGAAAATGTGTTCTGCATGTTTTCTGCAATGTTATATGATCGAATCCCTCCACTAACCGGTTCACCGGTGGACCTGAGATCAACGTTTTGTGCCAAAACCGGCAAGAGCGAATAATTTCGCATTTTACATGGGAGCTTATCTACCTACAATGGTTTCGCTGGTGACGAATTTCGTAGGAGTGAAATTATAAAATTCAAAGAATTCGATATGGCGGCTTCAAACAGTTAACTTTGATATTCCATTATGGAAGAGGTTATGTTCTATACACAGAGAGAACGATTTAGTTGAATTTAACAAATGCTTATTTGGAATAGTCGAAATAAATTTTTTGATTGATCGAACGAAGTTTTGTTTGACGCAACAAAAATATTTTGTTGCAGCTTAGTTCCAACGAAATGTTTTTGTTGCGTCAAACAAAATTTTGTTCGATCAATCAAAAAATTTATTTCGACTATTCCAAATAAGCATTTGTTAGATTCAACTAAATCGTTCTCTCTGTGTATATTCATGTTTTTCAGGTCGCTGGTGACGAAGCCAAGAAAAATTATAAAATTTCAAGTGGCAGATCCAATATGGCTCCAAGTAGCTAACTTTTGATAATTTATTTTTTGGATATTGGATTGGATTTTGGACGTATCAAACTCGATATGTGTATTTTGGTCGTACTAAATCCGAGGTTTTCACCAGAGCCATTCGGCAAAGACGTAATTTCCTTCCATATCTTTCACTCTCTAATAATGGAGGTAAGAGTGTCCATAATGGAATACTGTTAGTCACTAGAAGCCGCCGTATTTTAGATTTTGCAACTTCGATTGGATTTATCATTAGCAAGCTAAAAAACATGAACATATCGAATATAATCTTCTCCATAATGGAATAACAAAATTAGTCATTCGGAGTCGCCATATTGGATCTGCCATTTTGAGATTTCGATCCCGAGTTCGTCGCTAGCGGCCCGAAAAATATTCTATAAGGAAAATTTCATACAAAATGAAATGGGGTATTAATCTTAATAAATGTTCTTCAAAAACTAAAAAATTGTATATTTAAGCACTGTCATATTGAATCCGCCATTATGAATTTCTCAAATTTAATTCCGGATTCATAGTCAACGACCCAGAAGAACATATCGAATATAATATTCTCTATAATGGAATAATAAAATTAGTCACTCGGAGCCGCCATATGGGATCTGCCATCTTGAATTTTGAAATTTCAACCTCGGGTTCGTCGCTAGCGGCCCTAAATAAATCTTCTTCAAAAACTAAACAATTGAATATTTAAGCACTATCATATTGGATCCATCATTATGAATTTCTCAAATTTAATTCCGGATTCACAGTCAACGACCCACAGAAAACGCGAGTGTGCCAAGTATTTGATGCAAATCCGTTGAAAATTGGCAAAGTTATTCATGCTGATATGTGAGTCGTCATCGGTTTTGGAACACCTTTTTCCCGCTCACATAAGAGAGACTACCAATTGGTTAAGTGTATCATTCACCTATCACGAAATAGTGCGTGTTAAAAGAGTTCTCTAGTCCCGTAGATAAATAAATAATTGAATACTTGTGAATGTGTGTTATCAATAAATTTTTGATATTCTTGATATTCGGTCAAATTCACGCGAAACTACCGGCCGCTGAACGCTTCATCGGACGAGGAGTAGTCCTGACACTCTCTTTATCTCGCCTTCTATTTTCCTTTCTGGTTCTAATTTCGCCAACCTGCCCAGATCGGCCACGTTGGCGCCCGCGCCGGTGACCGAGCCGCCGCTCAAGGGTTTCCAGATCCTCATGATAATCTGCGCGATCCTGTTCCTGTCGCTGCTGCTGCTGGGCCTCGGCTGCTCCTACATGTGCCTGAAGCGACGCAACGTGCGCGTGGTGCACCGCCACCCGTTCGAGAGCGGCACCGGCTCCGAGATCACCAAGCTCTCGGGCTCGTCCCTCAGCAACATCACCATGTTCGAGGGCCTGAAGATACCCCGCGCGCACGCCCTGCTCCACGCGGCCGCCGCGTCCACTTCCGGTAGCGAGGCGAATCTCGTGATCGATCATTCGGACACGCTGCCGAGCGACTACCCGAGCGAGAGCCACTCCGAGGTGAGTCCCGATAATTGCCCGGCAAGACGGATGATTGCACGGAGGCGCATCTCGGCCCGAATGCCGACGGAAAGAGAAAGAGAGAGAGAGAGAGAGAGAGAGAGAGAGAGAGAGAGAGCGTCTCGCGCACAGTCGTTAATCCTTTTAGCGCGAGAGCTCTCTTCCGTCGTGGATCTTGATTCATTTAGTCCAGAGATAATCTTAATAAATCGTAATGCGTTATAAATGCGGAGGGGGGAGAGTCAGGCGCAGTCAGGCTCAATCATCGCGATATCGCCCGCTCGTGGCGAGCCGGGTAGCAAAATTTCTCGTCCTACATCTGCAATATCGAGTCGTCGACATCCATCACCACGTGATAACTTTCAGAGAGCAAAGTCTCTGCGCGAGTCGCTCGTCGAGAACATTTCCCCAACGACTCCTTCAATTAGAGAGAGCCACCGGGCGAGAGGAAAGATCACTCGGCGGTATTGATCCGCGTTTCGCTGTGAAAATGTCCCGATCGGACTTCGGGCGAAGCTGACGAACGTTTATCGAGAATTTCAACGACTCTCTCCTTCGATGGGGAAGGCAATCCAGATAAAGATCAAGATAATTCCGCTTCTCGGTCTATTTCCGTGCGATAATATTGAGAGCAAGCTCGCGAAGCTGACGAACACTCGTCGAGAGAATGGTCTTTCAACGTCTCCTTCAATTAGAGACAAAGAAAGAGATGGAGACCAGGTAAAGATGATTCTAAAATATCAAGAATGAACTCTGCGCGAGGCCGACAGATACGAGAATAGTCGTCCAACGTCTCCGATCCTGCCGGCTAAAGAGACAAAGACAACCCCGCGACTGATCACTCTGTGACCAAACATGCCAATGACTTCCGCAGGTGGACGAAGAGCGCTCGCTGCCCGTGTCCTCCGCCGGCTCCTACGACAACAAGGCGTTCGTGGACCATCACGAGGTGCAACATCAGCGGCAGGTGGAGATGCGCACGTCGAGCTCGCTGTACTCCGAGACGGTCGCCGCCGAGGTGGAGACCTCGTCGATGACGGCCGCGAACGCGTCGCGGGTGATGGTGCCGCGGCACCCGGTGGCCGTGCCGATCGAGCCCAAGTTCGACGTGCAGATGAGAGTGAAGAGAGCACCGCCGCCACCGCCGAGTCCCTTGCCGTCGGAGTCGGACGTGGCGAGCGTGGCGCTCGAGAGGAACCTCACGACCATTCTGGAGAGAGAAGAGTCCAGCCTGAGCCGTTCGCTAGAGACCAGTCCCTACCGTATGACCACCTTCTCCTACGTCCCCGAGCTCCACGGGCCGCCAGGGGGTGCATCGTCCATGTCCAGCATCTCCCGGCAGCAGACCCCGCCAGTCTACTCGAGGATCCTGCGCAAGCAGGCCGAGAGGGAGACCAGCGTGATCCAGGAGAAACTGCCGTCGCCTGTGGCGGAGCAACCGGCGCTGCAGCATCACGAGATCCGCCGGCCGAGGTCCCTGACCTCCCTCAACACCGAGCTCACCGAGACCCGCTCGCTCACCGAGGTGACGGACGCCTCCCACGCCAAGTACCGGGTGGCGAGCATCCTCGCGCCAACCCCGCCGCCACCGCCGCCCATCGTGCCCACCAGTTCCACCACCACCACCCACACCGCGATCCAACACCGTGAGCACCGTCTGCTGCGCGACGAGATGGCCGAGCCGCTGGTCGAGCCGCAAGTGGTCGCACCCCGCCGGCCGGAGATCACGACCCACGAGGTGGACGACGTGTTCCTGCGGACCGTCACCGAGAAGAAGACCATTGAGGATGTGGAGCGCCATTGCCGCCAGGTGACCGAGTACCGCGCCCGGGCGCAGCCGCCGCCGGACCTCAAGTGGGACGTCACCATTAGAAACTACCCGACGGAAGACTTGCCGCCGCCGCCGCCCGAGTGGGAGAACTTCTCGGACGTCAGCTCGGCTTCCAACCTGACCATCACGAACGAGCCGACGACGAGCCATCAGCTCGCCGACCTGGCCATGGACGACGAGCCGGACGTGAACATTGAGCCGACGTACACCACGCGCGCCGAGATACCCTGCAGACCACCGCCGGCGGCGGCGCGCCGCTCCCTCGACGACTCCGACGCCGACTGGTACACCAGGCTGGCGCGCGTCCTGGAGCCCCGCTACGCGGCCGAGCTGACGGACGACGAGCGCGCCAAGTGGCGCGAGATCATCACCACAGAGAGCACGCTGAGGACCTTACTGACCGAGGCGGTGGTGAGAGAAGACTACGAGCTCATACGTAAAGACGCGAGATACATCAACCTGTTCCCGCCGGCTAAGTGGGACGTGATCATACGGATCCTCGGCCCACCGTCGGCGCACACCGGCTCCACCTCGTCCTCTGGCCACGGCAAGAACCATGGCCAACGGTACAAGCGCTCCAAGTCGTCCGAGTGGGACACCAGGTCCCGCCGCTCCTCCTTGCCCACCCTGTACGAGTACGAGAGCGACGGCGGCAGCTCGGCTCGCACCCTGGGCAACCAGAGCCACCACCTGCAGACCTCTCAGTCCGCCACGACCATGACGGCGCAGAGCGTCGGCCGCTCCCGCAGATTCGCCGGCTCCATCCACTCCCGCGGCGCCGGCGGCCCCGGCAGCGAAGCGGACCTCAGGTCCATGTCCGAGATGACGGTGCGCGACTTCGCCAGGGTCGACAGGGACGACCTGACCAGCTTGAGCTCCTTCGAAGGCGCCGACTCCTTGGTCCGCTCGCTCAGCCAACCTAGCCTGGCGAGGTCGGGCTCCGAGTTCACTGAGCACTGGGGCATGCCCTCTGGCATCCTGGACCTGCCGCAGTGGGCGGCCGAGCATGACGGCGCCAGCTCGGTGGAAACGACGCCGCGCGCGCTCCGACGGGGCGACCGCCTGGAGGTGCTCGCCTCCTTCGACGAGCACAGACGCGCCGGCCTTGGCCCGGCCATCACGAGATCCAGCCGGTACAGCGAGAGAGAGCTGAACGTGCGCGTGACGGAGAGCCAGAGGGCCTCGGATTGGTTCCACGACAACAGCTCCGAGCCGGAGATGCAGATCTGAGCGCGGGTTGGGTTCTTGGATTCTCTCGGGCTTCACTTTCTGCGGCTCCCCTCAGCGCATAGGGCCGACCCAGCGGAGGTTGACAGGGATGAGCTTCGACGACGACCCCGGCAACCTTCCAACGACGTCATTGTGTAGAAAAGAACTTGCGCGCGTCTTGGGTTTTCTTTGATTCTGCTAGGAGTCGCGCACAGGGTGGATCTTGACGGGTTAGCAACGGTTGTCCGCAAGTCTTTGGGATGCACCGTTTTGAAATTTTGCAATGCTCGAATTTATTAAACTGATTTTGTTGCGGTCACTTCAAACGTGTCGCGTGCTCTTCTCTGTTTTGGCATATTTCATTTTTACACGCGCTTGTTTCTCCAAGTACATTTCTTAGTTCACGAAAGGGCCTGTCGGAAATATTCCTACCTCTCGCCTTGGTTGACCAAGTGATGAGTTTGTTCATCAGCTTTTATATGTTAAAATAATGGATCCTGAAAAGGTTATCAAAAATCTCCGCGCAAGGTTTAAGCTTTTGAACGGTTGGGAGAATTTCAACGTTTTTTTATAAATTTCGCCGAACACGTCTAAGTCCAAATTTTGCGTAGGGACCTTTGCTGGTCTCTTTAGGGTTTATTATTACACGGTAGAACCCCAGTAAGACAAAGGGTCTAAAGCGCTACATCCCAGGGACTACATGCAACCTCCACGTAGTTTCAAGCACAAATGACTTCGAGTTCCACCCTCTGTAACGCTCCTTAAAATCGGGAAGATCTCCGAGAGGTATAATCTTTTCTACGCAATCCGAATCGAAACTCGACGCGACACTTTTTGATTCATCGAGCGGTCGATATTTTCGTCACTCGCGAGGATTACTGCGATCGTTTCATTTCGACGAAGGAGCAAACTTTGGCTCTTCCGCGCGGGAACAAGGAGAAGCGTCTTTCGCGTTAACAGCTGCAGACGTCACGTCCCGAGAGATCGAGTGTGCGATTCAGGCCCGTAAGTATCGCAATCGAGATTGAAAGTTCGAGACGCGCGCCGCCGGAGGGTCGCGCGTATTTGGCAGATTCCAAGTACCTCGCCCTCCCGACCGCCCGAGGGATTAAAGGGTGTCGCGAAAGAAGTTTGTCCAAGTGTAGCTTACGAGCGACTGCCAGGTTGCGTATGTTTCGCTCGTACCACCCTTTCCTCGGTAAACACCCACATCGAGGAACCCCTCGTCGATGACCTTCACTCTCACATGCGTCATCAGTTGCACAGCCCTGAGTGACGAGCAAAAAGTCCTCGGTCTTTGTTCATTCAAAAGTTGTCGACAAAACAAGTTTAAGAAACGTCGCACAGCTGATCTAACTTGATCCTTGTCACCTAAACGGGACCAATGTACGAGCAGGGTAGGTCGCCCTGTGATTGACCCTTAAGGGCCCTACCCTGGGTGAAATTTTACTTCATGCGAATTTCGTTTCGTTCTTGCATTTGTTTGATTTTTATATTTCCAAAATAAAAATATATATACGAGGGTGAAATTTCATTCATGATAGAATTAACGTGATTTCCTCTGATGGTAGTTCTTGAAGGTTGGAAAAGTTCAAGGGTTAGAAAAGTTTAAGTACCTGGAACGCTTGTTTTGGGATTTGTAAGAATGCATTAATCGCAGCATACACGTGCGACGGGTGAAAAAGCACCCCTAACCTAATCTAACCCAGCCCAACCCAACCTATCCTGCTTACGCGACGCGGATTAGGTTAGACCAACTGTGCGTTACTTCTCAAGCTCTTTTTAGCAACAAACCTTCGTAATAAACCAGCAGACGGTTATGACTTTTCGATTACCACTCAGGATTATGTACTTGATGACATATGCGAAGGTGAAGGTCATCAACGAGGTGTCCCCATAATGCAAACAATTACCCTCATCTCTTCTTCCCCCGCGACCGTCCCCCCTTCTCCCGGTCGGTGTGCATGCGCACGCACGCACACACACACACACACACACACACACACACACACACACACACACACACACACACACACACACATCGATACCTTGCCAAGAGTGACGCGAATCACACAACACAACGGCGCGCTGCAAAATCCATTTACTCGCAGCCAGCCATTTCTTCCTTTCATTCTTACGTCGATTGTATACGCTGTCCTACTTCCACCCATCCTCCTCTCCTCATGGCCGTTCACTGCCGATTTCGTCCTCGCGCCCGACAGTTCGAGGACTCGCACACAGACAGTCACACATGTACACACGCTCAACCGCGCGGATTCCGAATCGCCCCAATTTCGGGGAACGCCTCCGTCCACCGCGCGTTCAAGATCTCTCCCTCCTTTCCTCCCTCTCTCTCTCTCTCTCTCTCTCTCTCTCTCTCTCTCTCTCTCTCTGTCTCTCTCCCAATGTCGCAATATCCCGAAATTTCGGGAACCACGAGACCGCCACTCTCTTCACACACGCCACTCGCGAGGCGCGAGACACGCGAGTCACCGCAGTCTCGGCCGCGAGTGGGTCTGCGGATTCTGGCGGTGAGCAAGCACCAAGCGGGACCATCCCCGTCGCGCGCGAGTTCATCCCCCGAAGCCCGCCGGCGCGGGTAAGACAGGTAGAGACGGACGTCTGTCTGGAAGTCGCGTCGAGCCGGCCGATTTCTCAAAGCGGGCGTCATAAGTCGACGGTGTCGAGGTATGTTACGACGGCGATTTCTCGGAACGCTCGATTTGATAACGGGTTCTTTATTGATATCGAATTCGCGGAGGAGAACACGGTTGGTCGGAGGGAAGGATTTTCTGCTGAAATATGAACGACGTGCGGGAACGCCAATCCAAGTTAGCCGGAATTCGGGATTAAATCGCCGAGATTTCTGGTCAACTTGAGCAGAATTTTCTGCTGTTTGCAATTGGAATCCCCGAATCGTTCATATTTCATCGGAGCATTGCTTCGCCCGACCAAACATTTTTCTCCCTCGCATGACGTCTCGCCGATGCCGCGGCGATGTGTGATCGATATCTCGATGTCGACCTGGTGTTTAGGGAACAAGCGTTAACCCTTCATACCCTTAATTAATTAATTAATTAGCCGATTTAGAAATTAGAATTAATTTAGCCAAGACCTTGCTGTGAAATTTTTCGACAATTAAATAGCTTTCGGCATATTATAAACGTAAAGAATAAGAAAAATGAATTTTATAACAATGCAATGATTTCAAAGTGGTGCTTGCAAGTACCGTCGGGATTTAAAGGGCTAAGTGATTTAATCGATATATCGATTCGACTCGAGCGCGATGCCGATCGGATACCGACCGGATCGTCAATAAAATCGACACCTAAATACGACAGTTTTAAAATATCAGATCGAACACAACGATTATATTATATCGACCTGATATCGACTCGACGGATGTATCGATTCTCGACCCGAGTGTGATGTAAGCCGAACATGGGAGATTTATATCAGCTAACCGATTTTGTGAAGCAACTGACTCGGTCTCGATTCGTTTAATCGGTAAAAGCGCCTTCCGATCGGCCATGAACCATTTTCGCAGCCGCTTTGATCGGTCAAAGAGATTGTGGCACCAGAGTACTCCCTTATCTCCCAGATATCGATGGCGACGTCCTGCAGATATCAAATCGACCGTTGAAGTCTCCAGCGACCTGTGAACCCGGCTTAAGCCGCGGGCTTCGATGGATCGATCGGCGCAAATCCGTCCGACACTCATCCTCCCCCCGTTTCTCACGATCCACGGGGATGATGCGAGAACTAGCGAATCGCAAGGATGGGAAAGTAACGAGTAACAATAATAATGATAATAATAATAACAACAACAACAACAATAATAATAATAATAGTAGTTTGTAATGATCGCGTCGAGGGACCGAGCACGCGCGGCTCGTTCTCAGCTTCCTAACGTTCGACAGAGATCGCGGCGATCTCCCTGGGCGGGAGACCACGCGGGGTGGCTTCCAGCCGCCCCCTTCTTCCCTCCTCCCTCCCCCTCCCCCCTCGTCGGCGGTACAACTGCGATAATAGTCTTACTTAGGTAACGAAACACACGGTGCTGGGTTATACGCTTCAAACGTTAGCTAGAATCGCCCTCCTCCCCCCTCCCCCGTGCCCAGGAATCCTCAGACCCCCTCCGACCTCCCTGCCCGTCCACGCAGGCCCGTTTTCCCGAATTTACGATGTATCGTGTCGTCGGAGATCGTACGGCCGCCGTGTCTCGGTGTCGACCGACACGGCGCGCATTGTTGTCTTCGCGCGCGCGTAGATAGTTGTATCCGTGTAATTACGCGCCCTTACCGCTACAATGTATATTCCTATGTGTACCACGTGCGCGGATGATCCACGTGCAGTCATCAGGAGCTCACGGAGTCGCCCTCCTTTGGGCGAGCCGCGGAGACGGAAGGCCTGTCCTTGAAAACGGTTTCGGAAACTTTGGTTTTAGGTTTTAGGTTGGTAGGCCTTTAACTCTTACGAGGAGACACAGGGAACGCGAAAATTCGAAGAATTCTTTATGTGGAAATAAAGTAGTTCGTTCGTAATGCGAAACTATTTTTTGTTCGTGCGGAATTCCAGGCCGAGGCGGTGAGATCACCCTTCGAGGAAAGAACCATTTCCATTTTTAGCGTATATCTTTTAAAATACGAGGCGTATGCAAAAATGGTTTATATGAAAGTCGCAGTGTATTTCATACTCTTTGCAACTGTGTATTCAGGTTCTGCAAAATTGAAACATTTTTGAAACCCCTTCCGCGCTCCTTCAATTTTGCAAAAAATAGTTTTACATTACGGATGAACTACGTACTTTACTACTTCCGCGCAAAGTTCCAGAATTTTTTTAACTTCCGCGTTTCCTAACCTTCCTTGTTAAATGTGTTCCGCAATTGATCAGCCGATCACGCTTAAACGTCACAGCTGTATATTGTTTCGTTTACAAGCTTGATTTTGACTATTCATTTTGCAATATTAGATAGAGAGATGGATAGATTTTTTATTAGTCACTATCTTGATGATTGATCAACTGATGAATTGTGAGATTAATATCGAAGTTAGTTTAGGGCCTACCAACTTTATAACTAAAAGCAAAACCGATTTCGAGACAGGGCCGAGCCTCAGGGCGCTCGCGGGGCGCGCTTTCGTCGACGTGCGAGTCCTCAAAGCGGCGGCGACGCCGGAGACTTCCGGAACGCTCGAAATTTGCGAAACGCCCGCCGTCTTTGGGTTTTTGACTTCTCACCGCGGTCGAATCTTGATTTGTGATGTCGGAAGCGAGCGAATGGGCATTCCTGCAAAATACGTCGAGATCGAGAAATGTGGTTGAAAAATAGCACTCACATCAACCGAGCACACCGATCAAGTACTCTGAATACTTTCCTTTTGCCGTAACGACCGGGACTGGCATGTTTCGAACTCTTTGTTTAAAACAAAAGTCTTAAACGTGTTTTAAACATTCGATAATAATTAGACATACGTTTTTTATAAGATGTTTGTGGGTTTTTTTAAGGTGTTTGGTAGAAATTTTGGACGTAAAATTATTGGTGATCTTTTCGCAAAACGTCCATTTTATACAAGTGTATACATTATTGCACGATTATTTAAAAAAATAATGATTACATATACATGTATATATATATATATATATATTATATCTATTTACTTAATAATTCACATCTTGTATATATATTTCATAGTTTGTTTAAATGAAATGATTTGAAGAAAAAGTTTTCTTATTGAACCATTGACTACAGTCCAAACCGCATCAAATTGTACTAAAACTCAAATGCACATTTGAAAAACATGCTTAACCCTTAAAAGCTACACCATTAAATATCACCCTAAGTTAACTTTTCTTGTTATTGTTTTTAACAAAGTATATACAAAAATTGATCCGTTTTATAATAATATTGTCGCTACTGATAGCGTAAATAAATACCTGTAAAATTAGCATTGTCAGCGTGACGTTTTTCAATAAAATTAAAAATTTACATGGGGTGAAGTTTCACCTACGGCAGCCTCCAAGGGTTAAAGCATATTTAAAACGTATCCGAAAAACGGAAAACAGAAAAGAAATATAATGTTTTGTTCTTTTTTTTTTATTTTTAGTGTGTTTTTTACCAATCCTGATAACGACCAACGAATAAGCGTGAAATTCGCGCAACGGAATCACGAGGAGGGGTAGGTCGAGAGGGTGAGCCGCGTGTCACGTTGACTCGACGCTAACCTTTTGACTGTCAGAGCGGGAGGAGAGTGTTCGGAGTATTTCGCAAGGGTGCTCGATTGATCGCGAGTGTCATTCTCCGGAGGTGTTTCCTTGTTAAATCGTACTTTTTGCGGGACTGTCGCGAGCGCGCATTCTGCCGCTCCTTGACGTCACAAGCCGCGAGATGGCCGCGGCCGGGAGCCTTGACACTGCAAATCCGAGCGTGTTATTCAACACGTGGAAACGCAAACACGTTTGGTAAAACGCCGTTTAATAAAAACGACGTGAGACTCGAGACGAGCAGGAACGCGCAGGGAAACTGCTTCAGCCGGTCGCACGCTGGATGCGTGTAAAATTAGCGGCCGCGCAACCGCAGCGTGAAGCTGGCGCCCCCGGGCGGCGAGAAAAATGAATGCCGGCTTGTAATTTGTCGTAAAAGAAAAAAAAAAACTACTCACACACACTCATGTAACGACGCATTTTATACACTTAGCGGACGTTGAATAAAACCGAAGGAAATAAACCGACGTTTTTGCCGGCCCCCCTCCCCTCCTCTGTCCCTTGGCCGAGGTGTTTCTTCAGGGACCTGGCCTTTTCGACCGTTCCGTCGTCGGAAGTGGGTCGCGTTGTTTTAGCGCCGGTACTTTTAGCCTTAATTATTCCCGCGCAATCGCCGTTTACGTGCTCCCAGGCGCGTTCCGTTGCAATTTGTACGCCTCGTGACGTCTCGTCGTTATTAGGTTATGCGCCGGCAAAAAGACAAGCGCGGGTTGCAATCGATAGCCCTCGGGCGCGAGCCAATTGTTTGTTCGCGAGACGAATCCGGCTCGAGTATTTGGCTCTATTAGCGTTCCGCGACGCCGTGCTAAACGCGCGATTTCCTGCGAATTTGAGGAAAAGAGATTCTCTCTTTCTCTCTCGCTCGCTCGCTCTCTCTCTCTCTCTCTCTCTCTCTCTCTCTCTCTCTCTCTCTCTCTCTCACTTCCCGTATATGTGACGCAGACATAAATCAAAATCAGCGCGATCGAACGGTGCATACTCGAACGAGTCGAAACGAACATCGCGATCGACGTTGAGCGCACGCGCAGATCGATGAATAAAACATAAAGTGCGCGGGGCATGAAAGGAATATCAAGCGCGAGTAACGAGGTAATAAATCATACTGAGAAATTATTACTTAACAAGTCTTATCAATGTCCGACTTTTCTCCGATAAATTACACTTCCTTCTCTCTCTCTCTCTCTCTCTCTCTCTGTCTCTCTCTCTCTCTCTCTCTCTCTCTCTCTCTCTCTCAGTCTCTCACTCTCTCTCCTTGTCTCGGGACGCTTCGCCGAAGGGGAGTATATATAGAGGAAAAGAAAATCGCCGAAAAATCGTACGACTGAGAAAGTTCGAGGAGAGCGAAAATATCGCGTTTGCACGATAAATTACGTTATAATTTATATTTCACTCGCGCGCGATCGAACGTGGGAGAGTTACACGCCGCGAGCGTCGAGAGTTTTCATTCGTCGCTGACATGATGATACGTACAGGAAAAGAGGTCGGATCCCCTGAATAACTTTGATAATGTGCAAGATAAAAGAAAATATTAAATTAAAAAGTGGTAGGATTTTAACCCTCTCACTGCTGAATTAACTTCCATTGAGAAAATTATTAAAATATTTGGTAGTCCTACGTTTTCGGGTCGCTGATTACGAATCTAAAGTTAGATTTGCAAAATTCAAAATGGTGGACTCAATATGGCGATTATGATGTACTAAATTAATGAAAATTCCAATTATTATTAAATAATGACCGTAATAAGAACATATGATTCTAAACGATGGAACTCGATCGAGCTGGAAAAAATTTATGTGGGAAAATGTTCAATACTGCATATTTATGCTTACTAGAGATTAAACATCCATTTTTGAGTAAAATAATATTGATAGTATGGATATAAGAGATGGAGATACAGAATGAAAAAACTAGGAAAATAGAGTTAAAAAGTGCAAAAAATCAAATTTCGGCCGTTTTTCTAGAAATATTTGTTTATAAAAAAAATCTAATCTGTACAAAAATACTGAAAAAGATATATGCTTTTGTACAACATCAGAAAAATATTTGGTGAAAATTTCAGACGTCTACATTCAATACTCTCCGAGGAATCGATTTTTCCTCCCCCAAAAAAGCATTTCCTTTCTTTTCAACATTGATTTGTTATAAATAATCACAAATGAATAATTGGGTATAAAAACCTATTGGTTTTTATGTATTAAATTATATGGTTTACAACGCAAAATTGAATCAAGAAAAGGTAGGAAGTATAGAAGTACTTCCCACTAACAGTGAAAGGATTAAATGACGCGTTACACAGCGACACTAGTATGACCTTGAACAGCGTCATCGAGGCTGCGGGAAGGTCACCTTGAAGTTTTCAAATGGAAACCCTCATTTTTAATTGCACCATTTTTTTTCTACCGACTGATTTGAACGACTTTTGTCTGAGACATCTTTTTATTCGCCTAATATTTTTGGAGATATTTAAGGAGAACTTGCCAACTTTCGCAATATTTAGCTTGCGAAGCCTCGGTAACTATTTGGAAAAAAGTGGGGGTACTAGACCTTTTTACTGCATTTGCTTTCAGAAATGGCTGTTGCAATAGTATCCTGCCTCAACTTGATGATTTTCAAATTCATCAAAGGTCACGCATATTTTTCATGTCGAATTTCCCGGCGGGAAACCGGCTGCGGAGTGCGCTCGTGTCGCGACGCTGGGATTCGCGAAAGTTGGCAGAAATTACCGGGGAATTAATAATATCCACGGTAATTCCCGCTAACTTTCGCGCACAGTTGATCAAATCCGACCAAATTTCGGCGTCGTAGACATAAACCTTGATAATAGCGATGTTCAGCCGGGCGCGTGCACGCGAATGTGCATAACGAAATGAAGGATCAAATTAAAGGAAAACACAGAGAGAGAGAGAGAGAGAGAGAGAGAAAGAGAAGTAGCTGGAGGTAACGCTGGAGCGTTCGTTCCCTTCGCTGGTCGGCGAGTTGCGGCGGATGCGCAAGTTCGGAACTAGATATTGTACCTCTTAATAAGCGCCGGCGGCGCTGCAACGAGCCGCGCGTCCGAGCGCGCTACGAGTCGCGTAATCCGCGTCGTATCGCATTACCCTGCGAGAGATTAACTGGAAACTCGCGGCTCGACTTCGCGCTGTCGAGGCGTCACGCCGCCGACGTGATAACGCGTCTCGCCGGGACTCGCGAAGGATCAAGCGACACGGATGAAGGGACACACTCTTGCAGCTTCGCGCGAGTTCGCCGGATGCGGCTATTAATAAAATCGGCCGCTGCGAGCGGCTTGTGTATTGTTATTCGCTTATCGCCGAATAGAGTCTTCACGATGCCTGCACCGGGGGAATTTTATTCCGCGATGGGATATCACCTTGAGAAAGGGGGAGAAAGCGAGAGAGATTTATTAACGCTACCCGAGCAAAAATTGTTAGGGCCGTCCTCGTAAAGTATTAGGCTGAAAGTAGGATGCCCTAAATAGGGATACCTCATTATTACCACATCAGGCCCCGAGATGGATTTTTTAGGGATATCTTAAATTTAATAAATGAAGCATTGATAGGGAAAGCGGAGAAGGGCCTTAGAAGAACTTTTTAGGGATGCCTCAGATTTTACGAAATAACGCTTTAACATGGAAAACTAACGTGGGCCTTAGAAGGATTTTATAAGGATGCTTTAGATATACAAAATCAAATTTTGTTACAGAAAATTAATAAGATCTGAAGCGTGTAATAAAATTGTCATAGTTCAGTATTGTTTTAGTAGGTACGCTCTATTTGGTTCTTTTAAAGACTTTTTAATCATACCGCAATTGAAAACAAATTTTATTAGTTTTATTAGTTGCCATATTCATTAATCTGTTCCAAAGATTTTTCTAGTATTGCCTTTCTTTTGAAATGCAGCAAACTTTAATATTTTTAAAATAATATTTTTAAAATAAAAAATTCTTGTATGCTAACAAGGTTATAAAGAAATAAAGAAATTACAGTCTAAATTTCTTGGAATGAAAAAAACGAATATTTTTATTCAAGCAATAACAAAAATATTTCCTAATAAGGCCCTTATAATATTGCTTTACAAGGACCCGTTAAGCCATTTGTTACACGTCTTGTAAGGCCCTATCTTTCTATCCCTACTAGGATCCGATTAAGATTAGAGAAAAATAATCCGGTCCTCACCAGTGCTCTATTAATTTTTCTTCTTGGGTAGGATGGCATATGATATGTTTTAATTGTTGCCGCTAGATAGCAGCGGTGTCCCGCTGGGATGTATAATATTCACAAATATCTTGGATCATTTCGAATAAAAGAAGCTTTTTTCGCAGCGAAGGCTTATTATTTTTCTTCTGGAAAGTTGCATATGATCTAAAAGTGTTTTGCTCAATGCTACAAATTTTTATCAAGTATTTACACTTCATGCGCACTGAAAAAGGTAATAAAAAAAAATTATGGGTGAAAACTCATAAGACTCCATCCTAGTAACAGGAGGTAACAAAAACCTCCTAGCGTTCGAGGATTAAGGCGACTTTTCTAAGAAGATTAATTATAACGAAATGAAAGCGGCTGAGTGCAAAAAAATATATTGGCGTAGAATATTTATAATAAATTTCCGAGATCGAGAAGCCGAGAGATAAAGAGGGAAAGGGGGGGGGGAGAAGGGGGAAAAATCCGACGATGAAATTTCGCAGATACCCCTCCTCTCCCTCCGTCCCTATCTCTTTCTCTGGCCTTCAGCGACGTTATTTATAACACGCGAATATGTCGAACAGCTATGGCGTCGGGCGAGTGACGGATGAGAATGTAACGCAATATCGGGCGCGCTGCAACGACAAAGAAGAACGTATGAATTACGAGATTGAAAAACACGGAGGTTTATTAAAATCCGCCATGATGCCCCGCCGTGCAGGCGGACGATTTATCTCCCGACGTCTCGGAGAGACAAGACAGCGACGGAAAGAGGAAAATGACTCGGTAAGGCGCGAAAGAAGCAGATGGGGAAGGAGTCGCCTCTCGCGCGGAGGGAGTGGCTTTCGAAGGATACCCTTACCGCGCCGGTAAGCAGATTGCGGCTCGCGCCGAGAACAATCGGCGGGTTCGTCTAAATTAATTACGGGCGCGGAAAGAATTCCAGGCGGCGCGCGAGCGCCTCGGGTCCATTGAAATCGAAGGCAGCCTCGAGAGCGGCCGCGAGCGGCGGCCGATCCCTCGAGGTCGCGTCGGAGGTCGCGATAAGGGGAGATGGGCAGAGAGCCGGGGGAGGGGGGGAAGAAGGGATGAAGAATGGAGCGTGCGAGGTAGCTTCTGTAATTGCTTTTCGCCGAGTCCTCCTTGATCGATCCTCCTCGGTGGAAAAAGACGCGCCAAGGCGCGTCGGCCGTCCGTCCCCCCACCCCCTCGCCCCGTCCACCCCGTCCCAGCTCGCCGCTCGGAGGGGGCGGGGGTGGAGATATATGCTGTTGTTTTTCCCGAAAACACAAGTCGCGGCCGCGGCCGAGCGAGTGTGTCGCGCAGCTACGTGCCTCTCTCTCTCTCTCTCTCTCTCTCTCTCTCTCTCGCTTCTGCGGCCATGCGGGGCGGATCGACGCATGCGTTTTTCCCGCGCGCACCCGCGTACCCTTCGCGGAATTATCTTGGCCGTGAATCGAGCAGTCTTCCACGGTCGTTCCCGAGCTTGCTCGCGATCCCGCGGGGATGCTCCGCCGCTCGTCCCGGTGGACTACGAGCGCCAGCGACAAACAGGGAGAAAGCGAGAGGGAAAGAGAGAGAGAGAGGGAGAGAGAGAGAGAGAGAGAGAGAGAGAGAGAGATAGATAGATAGAGAGCGCGGCGTCAGGCCGAACTCACGAGGCGCGCGTGGCCGCTCTTTTTATTATCACTCGTTTTTTCACCCAACTGTCCACTTTGTCGCGGACGCGGCGATTACGTAAGGAATGCGCGCTCGCGCCCGTGCCGACGACGATGCGCACGTACGACGCTCTGGTGCGCTTCCCGGTGCTGCTGCTGGTGCTGCTGGCGACGGTGGTGGTGTGCTGTGCGGGGGGAAGGTGCACACGGGGACACGTGTCGCTCATTTGTGGAGGTGAGCGCGAAGAGACGTGAGACGCGCGCGGTTAAACGTCGTTTCCTTTGGAAAGTTGCTGTGCTCCCCCCCCCTCTCTCTCACCCTCTCTTTCTCTCTCTCTCTCTCTCTATCTCTCTCTCTCTCTCTCTTTCGCTCTCGCGAGGCGTGTTTAGCGGCTGAGAGAAGTGGATGCCGGTGCAGCCGCTCGGGAATTCGAGAACGCGCGACGATGCGAGGAGATTCTCACGCGTCGTTCTCGATTAATTGTCTCGATTAATTGTCTCGATTAATTATCCGACGATCGAGAACCGTCGCGCGCCGCGAACAGTGCCCTCGATTGCGAACTAGTTGCGCTCGTTCGAACCGGCGTACTTGTTGCCGAGAGTTTTGCAAGCGCGCCGCCCCCTCCCCCTCCCCTCCCCCTCCCCCCTCCCGCCGGCGATTATTTAATAAACGGATCGAATGGCCGCCTCTTAATTACCGCTTCCGCGAGGCAACCCTCTGCAGAACCTCCCCCCTCCTTCACCTTCTCTCTCCCTCTCTCTCTCTCTCTCTCTCTCTCTCTCGCGCGCGCGCGCGCGCGCGACTCGGGCTTCCGGAGCGACGTGTGCAATTGCATTCGGCGCTGCCTCACGATTAATGACGAACATTTCCGCAGAATGCGTAAAGCAATTGCTGCCGACGCGCGGGCGGATGATTGGTCGGTTTCATGTGACTGTGGACGAAGTGACGGGGGGATTTCGGGGGTCGTTGGGGTAGGGGGCGAATTTCGCTCTCGTAAAATCGACGGCGCTCGAACGGTGTCGGAAATGAAGAATCGCACGGGAGGAGGGAGGGAGACTCGGTCCCTCGCGGAGACAAGGATCAGTGAGATCGAAGTGACGACGAGCGATGAAAAAACGGCCGCGTCTTCCGCTGGGAAGAAGCAGCACCGCCGATTTGGCGGGGCAAATTAACGCGAGGGAACCAGGTGCGTTCTGCTTGGGAAGAGCGAAGCTTCGCGTTTCTCGCGAAGCGAACTGATGAAACCGACGTGGCTTCGCTTCGGCGAAGTGACGTTCGAAGACATTTCCTTTCTCTCGACGGAGACGCGTTCGCGCCGAGCGGCTCCTCTCGAGATTTGATGGAACAAATTTCCGCGGCGTTAAGACTCGCGCTTCCGCGCGATTACGCCGAGCTGCACGTCGCGCAATAAGGCTAACGATTATCTTCGCGGAGCTCACACGAGGCGCGGGAAGATTCGGCTGAACGATCAATAGCGCGTCGACTGCCCGAAGTTGTTCGGAACAGGCAGAAAGAAGAAAAACGTCTCCGACATACGCGCGCTTTCCGAATATTTGCACATTTAAATGGAAAAGTTTCAGCCCGCCGCGGCCGCCGGAAGTTATCGCGCGAGTTACCGCGAGCAGCCAGCCAGTTTGCTTGGTGTTGTAACGCAATTAAAGCTCGCCTGCAAAATTCATCTCGACTCCGCGACTGGAAGCTCGCGCACAACGGACGGCGCACGTGCGGCGAAGCTCTCGTGTGGATTGAGCATTAGGAGCCGGAGGAGACATTCCTCCGCAATTTTGCGAACTCGACGACGATTCGCGGGAGAGATTCGCGAGAGCGCGAGAACTCGCGCGCGAGGTCCGCCGAATGCGCCGCGATGGCGGCGTCGCGCGCTTGTGAATTATACCAAGGACGAGCCCGGTCCTTTCGTCCACTTCGCGCGACGATGCGCGCGAAATGCCGGGGTTTTGGTTAAAAAAGAAACGTCGGCGGATCAACAAGCGTGCGCGAGATACTCCCCTCGATTAACAAGTCCGTGGCGTGGCTCCTCGCGATATTAGCGGAGCACTTTTCTTTTGAATTTTTAAGACACCCTGTATACGGCTATCGCCGACGCTGGTATATAATTAGCAGGAATTTCGATTAGCGCGATTACCGTTTCGACTAGCAAACGCTTTGTCCTCGTCGTGATTAAACTCGCGAGTCCCCAGCGCGGGGCACTCGAGTCGCTCCCGCCTCCCCTCCACCCCCTCCTCCCATGTGGGTCGTCTCCGGGCGCTCTGATATGCGTGACGCGCGTTGTTAGCCGTGTCTCTCCCCGGCGGACTAAGTAATGAAAAATAAAGTGCGCTCCTAGACGGAGAGACGCTCTCGCGCCGCTCGTCGGAGCTCTCTCTCTCTCTCTCTCTCTCTCTCTCTCTCTCTCCGGCAAGAATTCTTAGACGCGAGCGGGAGCTCGTGCATGGCCGATGCGCAGTAAAGGCGTCGTGCACGATTAGTCGTCTAAAGGGTAGGCGATCGTTCACGCACGGATAAGCGCGCGCGACGCAGCGGCGCTACGTGCTCGCGTCGAAACGCGGCGAAGGGCGGGCGCAGGATTCTCCGCAGTTACGTCTCGCGAATTCGCGTCGCGCTCGACCCGATTACGCTCGAGCCGGTATCGGTCTCGGGCTGATTGCGAATCGCGAGGTCGATTTGCCGAAATTATCCGGCGGACGAGGCAGAGGGAGGGAGAGAGAGAGAAAGAGAGAGAGAGAGAGAGAGAGAGAGAGGGAGAGGAGGCCCGCTTGCGAAGCAAAAAACTCGGAGAGAGCCTTGCAGTCTCTCAGTCGGTGTCTTCGTCGCTATGACGCTGGACTCAACACTGCGAGCGCAAACGAAAGGGTGTTACTTGTGTCTCAAGTCTATCGGGGATTCATCGCGAGCGCCGGATTTATTCGAAACGCACTCTCCGGATCCTAGCTTGGTCCTTCGATCGAGAGAAGGAGAGAGTAGCAAGGCATGTCAGGTACCCAGAAAAGTTCTCGCCGAGTTTTGTTGGTTTTTTAAGGGATTTTTCGAGCCGAACTATGACACCCAAAAAAAAGAGTAATTTCAGAACAAGCGGAATTATCTAAATTTTAGAGGATTTTATTCTTATATGTGGCCTCAAGGGGATTCCTCTGAGGTTAAGAGGAAAACATTATAAACACATTATTCTTAAAGTTGGAGGGATTATTTATGTTGTATGTATAATGCAAATCTTGATGTTAATATAAATTTCCTCTTACTCACAGATTATTTAATCCTTTCTTTAAGAGGATTATTATTTACCCTTACTGTATACTTTATTCTTGCTGGTTGTACTAGTTAATTTAAAACAAATCAATATAATGTATATAGCGAAAAGTAATATATATATATGGATGTACTTCTGGCTCCAGTTCTACAATGAGTAGCCACGAGTGAAACAAGATCATCATAACAAATAAATTTCCAATCAGTTTTGTTACGGATCTCATAGCTACAAAGATGTTCATCATAACCAATTGTATGAAACATAGTTAAAAGAGGAAATATATTATTCAACTTCTTGCGATAGATTATAAACTGTATTTGACCAAATATGGGTAAATTATTTTCGTTATATGCTACAGCAACACACATATCTTTTTTAAGAAGCGTCCCAAATATTCTGACCCATGAACATGTGATTATTTTTTCGTTCATGTCTGGAGGTAGAACATCACTGAACAAAAGAAGCCGACGTTCCAAAGTCAACATATTCCTCTTCATATAAGAGGAAAATTCACTGGTATAAGAGGAAATCTTGAAACATAAGAGGAAGACAGTTGGAATAATATCTAATCAATTTTAGAAGCATGATTCACTTTAATCGCTTTATCGAAAGAGGAATCCTTTTCTTACAAAACAAAAGGCTTCGCTTAGTTTATGAGACTATGGGAAAAATCATTTGACCGATAAAATACTTTTTTTTGGGTGATCAAAGGGCGCGTTCAGCAGAAAAAGTTGTTCATTAAGCGCTTAGTGGTTATTGTCTATGATTGGAGTTTTCTTTTAGATCTCTGACGAATCCAGAAGAACAGACCAATCAGGAACGATAATTACTAAACTCTTGTGTATTTTTGAGCCACTTGATACGACCAGGCAAAAACAAATTACTCTTGCATGCGAGTTCGAACGTACCAGAGACTTGTCGAAATATTTCTATGGCGTTCGGAGGAGACGCGGCTGAGGAACGAACTGCTTGCAACTGTGATAAGAGCCTTGAGGATGCGCCCCGATCTGGAAGACCGTTTCCTTTAAGTGACGAAAACCTGAGGACTGCAGTGGACGCGAATTCGAAATTGACCTGCGGGAAATTTGCTGAAAACCGCATTTAATATTCGCGAAATTACGTTTAACGTTAGTATTAAATTTTCCACGTAAAAACGGCGAAACTTTCTTGGGTATTTAGTGTATTAAATCGCGGCAAAAATTCGCACATTGTTTCCCGCATCGGAAGCGTGTATAATTTATATTTTTATTTATATTTTTATATTATTATTTATCATTTTGTTATATTTATTTATTACATTAAGTTATTATATTTTCCACTAGTTATTATATTATTTTATTAAATTTATTTGTTACATTTAGTTGTTGTATCTTTTATTAGCTATTATATTATTTTATTATATTTATTTATTACATTTAGTTATTATATCTTTTCCAACATTTTGCACGATATTCCAAATCTCACGAAATTCTCGGAAGGAGGGAGGATTCTCCTTTCGAGTGCGCGATACTTTTCTAAAACTCGCGATGAGTGTCTCTTAAGACTGCGATGGCGGGAATATTGTTTGCGGAGGGTGACCGTTGCGTGCAGAGGAGGAGGGCGGGCCGAGTAGCCGTCCTTGTCCTCGGCGGCGTTTTCCTGATGCGCACGGTGTGATTCACTTACGAGTGCGCGACCGGCGAAATCTCGTTGAAGCGACCGGTTAAATAGCGCCGACTGTTCCCATTGCCGATGCAGCTCGCAGACGCAGCCGGCGTCGCCGCGCGGAAGCCATTAATCCCATCGCCGCGAACGTGCGGAAAGTTGAATTTGGCGCAACGCGCAACGAATCTGCGCGCCGCGAATCCCGCAGGCGGCTCTTATTTCCGCCGGTCGAAAGCGGAGAGACGCAGGAGAGCCGCTGAAACGGGAATGTTCCCGCGGAGAATCGATCAACGCTGACTATCGGCGAGGCGCTCTTTTAAGGAACTCGTTGATCCTCAAGTTTCACGGCTCGCATGAATTGACAGTACCGCGTCCTGCGACGGAGACGGATAGGCTGGAGGTGTCTTCGCCGAGGATCGATGGACACTCGCTGATCGCATCGGAGAGACTCTTCTCCCGCTGACTCAATCAGCAACATTTTCCCCGGCTTGCTTCGAGAGAGTATGTTAATCTCCAGTGTTTGTTCGCGCAATAAGGGACATCAACACTCGCTGTAAAGACCCACCGAACACTCGCGACTCGACAAGGACAACATCACCGGCAACTCCGGCAGGAATCATCACAGCCGACGTGGCTGTTGGCCATCTTCGGGACGGAGAAACGCGACTGACTCCCCTCTGAGAGGCGCCAATCCGCGCGCAGAATGATTCCTCACTTAATCTTATTAATATCCGTCATCAATAAAAAGAAGTGCGCCGCGACGCGGAGACTCTGGCAGCCCTAACGACGAGTCTCGCCTCGAAGAGCCCCCCCCACCTCGCCCCGTGCGACGTCAGTATCGGAGGAGAGAGCGGGAAAAAAAGAGGGATGCAACGGGGATTCTCCCGCAGTCGCGGCAACCTCAACGCCGGCTGACCGCATCCGCAACACCGACTCCATCCCCGGCGCCGACGGCCGCTGATAAGCTCGGCGAGGCGCGGACGATAGTTTAATAGCCGCTCGCTCGCGCGCAAACTGCCGATATCGAGAGGAGAAGAAAGGAGAAGAGAAGAGAAGAGAAGAGAAGAGAAGAGAAGAAACGCCAGCGAGAGCGAGCGAGAGAAGGAGAGAAAGAGCGCTGGGCGAGAAGGGAAAAGCCGAAGAGAGGAGAGGAGAGAAGAGAAGAGAAGAGAGAGAGAGAGAGAGAGAGAGAGAGAGAGAGAGAGAGAGAGAGAGAGAGAGACCATAGCATGGGCCGAGGGATGACGCCGGCGACGTGGGGTGACGACGAGCGATGGTGGGGCTAGATGGTGGCGAGCGAAGCGACGGACGGCGCGAGTTATGGTGGCGAACGGCGCCGGCTGGTGGGGTTGAAAGGTGGCGCGGCCATTTACGCTCGTATGGGGTAAGCTGCTGCACCTGCGATCAGTCGCCAGGCCACGGGAAGAAGCTGCGAGCTCGCCGCGGCCGACGACGAGGCCGACGACGCCGGCGACGACGCAGCCGAGAGCAGCCGCGCGCTGCCGATGATGAGCCTGCCGATGGCGCTCCCGAGGTGCCGAGGCTGCAGCCGAGGCGAACAGAGGCTCCTTCCGCGACGAGGCAAGACGGGGACTCGATTAACGGACTGATCCCCTTCGACGAGTTCCCCACGCGGTAACTACTTCCGAGGAAGCAGCAGGTGGAGAAGAGCGAGAAGAAGAAGAAGGAGAAGGAGAAGAAGAAGAAGAAGAAGAAGGAGGAGGAGAGGCGGCCCGAGACGCTCGTAATTGAGAGGGATCCGTGTTTATCCCATAAACGTCTGCTCGGCAAGTCGAAGGAACGCGGGATGCCGCCGCCGCCACCCCCGAGCGGCGCGTCGAGGATCCTCGCGGCGGGAAACTGGGTCTGACGAAGATAAACTTCCCGCGCGGGGGAGAGAGAGACAGAGAGAGAGAGAGAGAGAGAGAGGGAGAGAGAGAGAGAGAGAGAGATCAAGACAGAGATAGGAAGCTTACACCGGCCTGAATGGGGAGTCGCGTCGCGAAAGGGCTCGTCGCTGCTCCTCCTCGCCGGCGGAACTACCCTGAGACTACCCTGAGGCGGCGGGCGTCCCCGGTCGCGCGAGAATCACCGTAATAAAGCGCCGTCGGCGACCCACACCTCGTCCACATGTCGCGACTGTCGCTGCCATGAGGAACGTTCGCGCGGTCGTGCGGTAAACGAGACGGGATATTCACACACACACACACACACACACACACACCGGGAGTGGAAGAGCGAGAGTGCGACGAGAGGGCGAAAATGAGTTCCCTGCGGAGGACGATCAATCAGTCAGCGCGGGAGGGCACGTCCATGAGGAGACACGCGGTCTCGGGGCCCACCACGAAGAGCGTGAAGAACGTGATGCACGCCAACACGGCCTCGCCGGCCTCGCCGCTGCGACACCGCTCCAAGTACGAGCTGCGGAGCATCAGCTTGGAGGGCAACAAGGTGCTGCCGTGGACCACCAGGTAAGCGGAATCCTCTTCCCTCAGCGGTAATTTGCGAGTCGTCGCGAGACGCGGCTCTTTTCTCGGGAAAGAGTGACAACACTAGGAAAGACATCGATCATGAAGAGAAGCTAAGGTCAGGTCCGTTGACGACCGAATTGAGTCTGTTAATTATTACGTCATGTACAGGGTGTAACATCAATATACAGATCAGTATGACGGGTTGCTTGCTCCTATTCAGACGGTAATGTAGACTAGGAAAAGAAATTTAGTATCTCTGACAAGACTGTTTGGTTGAGGCATTTTTTAATGGCAACCAAATATCTTGTTTTATATAACAAAATATTTAGTTGTCCCGACTAAGTATATTTTTCTGCTTTGTCCTCTGGACCAAATGATTTTGTTCTTAGACTTCATATGTAAAAATTAAGTATTTTAGTTATTTTATCCATAAGAATTACATAATAACGAAATATTATTTTACATGAACCAGAGTAATGCCTAATGGATACTATTTTGTCTCTCTCTCTGTGCACTAAAATTTAGATTTTATATATTAAGAGAAAATTATAGTATTTTTAACAAAATTCATACATAGTTAAAGCTTTTTGGTTGCTATAACAAAAGTATTACGTTACACGAACAAGCCGGAATCAAACAAGATATTTGTTTACAGGAACTAAATAGTATAAATTTTGTTGGGCATATTTTAACCAGATTATTTTGTTGTTACAACAAAATTTTGGTTCACGCAACAATACATTTTTCCTAGTGTAGAGATTGCCGAACAAGTCACTCGTTGACTTTGTTAATAATGATACTTGCAGTGCTTCCAGTTATGACAAATATTTATCTCTTTAACTATCACTCTCATTTATTCTGCGTAATATTTATTTCTCATAGTTTCACTTGTTTAAATATCTTTTTTAATTCAATCAGAGGGGCCAGCAACCCGTCATACTGACCTGTATGTTGATGTTACACCCTGTACGTGGAGAATTCTATTGCGGGGAGGGGAGCAGGAAGATTCCTGCGGGTGCTTTCTAATCGCTTTCCATTGTCTCAACGGAGTTTCAACGTAGCCGATGGTTCCAAAACAAACTTAGCTAACGCTGCTATCAGATATTTATCTCTTTTCTCTCGCGCGCGGCTTCTTCTTTTCTTCTTCCTCCGACAAGCCATACCTGTCACCTCTCATCACCGAAATTTCCTCCGGCCGTCGGCTGGAGATCACGTTCCGTTGACTTGAACAAGCCGCGGTACCGAAGGAGATGACTTGAAAGAGATGAAGAAGGAGCCACGAAGAACGAGAGTGATGTACTCGGAGGAGATTCCGGACAGGCCGTCGCGAGAGGTGAAAACCGCGACGGACGGAGCTTAAAGGTTTCCATCTCGCGGAATGCTGTCGCCTAATAGTCTCTGCGGCGAAATCGATGTTGTACGAGGCAGCATCTCCCTCGAGCCAGCTTCCCCTCGGTGGAGAGGCAGCACCGCGTCTCGGGGGTTTAATGATTCCGAGATTAGGGCATTAGGGACGCCATGAAGCCGCGCTGACTTGCCGATCAATCGAACGTAAAGCCACATGATCGCGGCGATCCTTGCAATTGCTTCATGGCGACTGACGCCGTCGGCTGCTGATGCTGATTGATGAAAGAGACGCGAGCCCGACCTCTCCCGAGCTCTCGACGCTCCGCTTCACCCGTTGCTTCGTCGGGCAGACCACTGCGTGGTCCGCCGCTGGCAAAACTCTCGGAGCACATCTACAATCGCGAATAGTTGCGTGCGCTTTTCGGACTGTCCGCGATGAAAAAGACGTCGCTAACCTGGCGATCTCCGCAGTTGCTGAAATTCCCACTGAAATTCCGTCCCACGGCGTTAAATGTGTTTTATGCACGCTGGGTGAGAGATCGCTTGAATGCATTTGACGACGAGCGCGTGCCAAATGCGAAGGAATTTTTGCTTCCCGGAATCAAGCACAGCTTTGAGAAGTAGAAATTTGTTTACGTCGGAAAAGCTCCCACAGTTTAACCGGGGTACCGGCGGACTCGAAATCAATGTCCTGCGCCAAAACCGAGAGCGAATAATTTCGCATTTTACATGGAAGCTATAAAGGTTTCTTGGATCGCTGGTGATGAGTCCAGGATCGAAATTACAAAATTCAAAGTGGCAGATTCAATATGGCGACTTTTGATATTCCATTATGTAGAGGATCATGTTCTATGCGTTCGTGTTTTTCGGGTCGTTGATGACGAAAGCACAGTCGAAATTACAAAATTCCAAGTGGCGGCTCCAAATGGCTAACTTTGATATTCCATTATGGAGATCATATTCCATATCTTCATGTTTTTCGCGTCGCTGGTGACACGAATTCAATATCAAAATTATAAAATTCCAAGTGGCGGAACCAATATGGCGATTCCAAATAGCGAACTTTGATATCCCATTCTATGGATACGTATCAAACTCGGTATCTCTTTCTGATTGCACTGAATCTGAGGTTTTCACCAGAGTCATTCGGCAAAGAAGTAGTTTCCTTCAATATATTTCACTCGCTAATAGTGGAGGTAAGAATGTCCATAATAAAACACCATTAGTCGCTAAAAGTCGTCATATTTCATATTTTGCAACTTCGACTGGATTCATCATTAGCAAGCTAAAAAACATGAATATATCGAGTATAATCTCCATAATAGAATAACAAAATTAGTCACTCGGATCGCTGGTGTCCACCATATTGGATTTGCCATCTTGAATTTTGAAATTTCGACTCCGAATTCATCGATAGCGGTCCAAAAAATCTCCTATAAGAAAGATTTCACATCAAATATAAAATGGGATATCAATCTTAATGAATGTTCTTCAAAAACTAAAAAATTGAATGTTTCAGCACTGTCATATTGGATCCGCCATTATGAATTTCTCAAATTTAATTCCAAAATCATAATCAACAACCCAGAAAACATGAACATATCGAATATAATATTCTTTATAATGGAATAACAAAATCACTCACTTGGAGCCACCATATTGGATCTGCCATCTTGAATTTTGAAATTTCGACTCCGAATTCGTCGATAGCGGTCCGAAAAATCTCCTATAAGAAATATTTCACATCAAATATAAAATGGGATATCAATCTTAATGAATGTTCTTCAAAAACTAAAAAATTGAATGTTTCAGCACTGTCATATTGGATCCGCCGTTACGAATTTCTCAAATTTAATTCCGGATTCATAGTCAACAACCCAGAAAACGTGAACATATCGAATATAATATTCTTTATAATGGAATAACAAAATCACTCACTCGGAGCCACCATATTGGATCTGCCATCTTGAATTTTAAAATTTCGACCTCGGGTTCGTCACTAGCGGCCCAAAAAATCTCCTATAAGGAAAATTTCACATAAAATAAAATGGGATATCAATTTTAATAAATGTTCTTCAAAAACTAAAAAATTGAATATTTCAGCACTGTCATATTGGATCCGCCATTACGAATTTCTCAAATTTAATTCCGGATTTCATAGTCAACGACCCAGAAGATGCGAGTGTGCCAAATTTGGTGCAAATCCGTTGAAAATTGGCAGAGAATTATTCACGGTGCTCATACACATGAGTCGTTACCGGTTTTGGAGCGTCTTTTTGCCGCTCATATGAGTCACTACCAGTAAACGATGGCGAGGCGATTTCGCGCGACCGCCATTGTTGTTATCAAGAATCTTGTTATCTTGTTGTCAAGAAACGGCGCGCCACACTCTCGGACTTTTCTGAGCGTCGGAAACTCTCGATCACTCGCGATCAGTCTGCGCGACAACAACGGCGCTCGGCAATAAGAATAATCTCGTGAGAGAAAGAAAGGGGAAGGGGGGGGGAGAAAAGGAAGAGAGAGGTCTCGGCTAACCGGCGGAACTTTTAATTGGCGGACATTCGAGCGCGCGGTGACTTAAGGTTCAATTAGTTTCGTAATCTTTATTGATGTGCATCCGCGGCTCCTCCGCGCTCTCCCTCCCTCTCTCTCTCTCTCTCTCTCTCCCTCTCTTTAATTGAACTTGAGTTAAGCGATCTTCGTGAACGTCGCCGATACAATTGCATCGTAAAGAGACGCCGAGCGAAATAATCGACGCCGGCTGTGCGCGCGGATCGCGCAATCTCTTCAGTCCCGGAAATACGCACTGAGGAAAATATCCGAAGTATCTGATTGTTCATTTGCGACATTTTTCTCTGTCTGTTGATCTATTCGTCTGTCTGTAATACAGCTGCAGTCGGATTTTCACTGTCTGCCTAGACGACGGCGGGCAGAAATCTCTCCTGTCAAATTTTGCTCGAGTTGAAACGACCGAGACAAACGGTGGCGATTCCGCACAGAGGGAATTCGTTTTCGAAGGTATTAACATTCCCACAGAATGAAAAAAATATCATATTAGAGCTCGCTCGCGGCCAGGATACTCTCTCACATTTATACCGAAACGTCCGAAAGTAATGCTAGCTATTTGACGGATGATATAAATTTTCATATCGCGCATCAAGAGAAAAGGCATGTAGAAAATGTAAAATATTCACGCGGTGAATTTTAATAACGCAGCTGCTTAAATCTCAATTCTCTCGCTCGCGCGGAATGTACGATCGCTCTCGTAAAAAAGCTGCAGATTTAAGGAAGCGTGTGTTTCCTCATTCGCGAGAACTTTTCGCACTCGACGCACTGCAAACTCGCTGCTGATATTCGCCGAGCGAACACGTGTCGCTTTTTAGATACTTCCTCCTCAATGCGTAGTTGAAAAGATGCCCGGGCGAGCCACTAATTAATTGCAAGGAAAAATGCCAGTTAAATGAACCAATTATTGGAAATGTGGACTCCGACTTGGGAAGAGCTGAATTCCGAGTTTCGAGTTAGCCGGGGGGAGATCCCGACGACTTGGACCGAAGATTTCGACAATTTCGCTGTCGTCCGATATATTTCTCCCGAGAGAATTATCTCGTTCGATCAAACGAGGTTTTTCCCTGCGGCGAGTCCGAAGTACC